GACTGAAAGGTCCCAGGTTCGATTCCGGTCAAGGGCATGTACCTTGGTAGCGGGCACATCCCCAGCAGGAGATGTACAGGAGGCAGCTGATCGATGTTTTTGGCTCTCTATCTCTCTCCCTTCCTCTCTGTAAAAAAATCAATAAAATATATTTTAAAAAAGAGAAAGAGAAAGAAAGAAAGAAAGAAAGAAAGAAAGAAAGTAAGGAAGGAAGGAAGGAAGGAAGAAAGAAGGAAAGAAATGAATAGTGTTGGCCACTAAATTCAAACTTTGATAAGCAGACTTTGGATAACCTTTGTATTTCTCAAAAGTATGGTCAGGTTTGATGGATTTATCCTTTGGTCCTACTTGAAATGATTTCTGGTACCATGAAAAGAAATGGACTTTAGAACCAGAGACTGATTTGAGTTTAAATCCTAGCTCCATCACTTACTAGTTCTAAGTTGCTTAACCTCTCCATCTCTTCATCTATAAAATAGAGATAGTGACCCACCTCATAGTGAGCTGAAAAATTAAATGAGGAAACATGTTTAAGTGACTAGCACAGTGCCTGGCACATGGTGAACATGTAATAATGTTAGTTTTCCTCTTATTTTACTGATGTAGGAGATAAAATGCTGGACTAGAGAATAGCTCATATTTTATGTTCTTTCTAGACATACCTTTTCAGCTTTTGCATAGCACAAGGCGAAGCAGAAGTTCTCAAGTCTGGATATTGTATACTTGCAACAAGTTTTTACTTAACATCTATTAGGTGCTAAAAACTGTACAAGAGAGTACATAGTAATATAGCTAAGTAATATAGTAAGTACCTGTCCCCCAAGGAGCTCATAGTCTAATGGAAAAGACTGATGACTAAAGCATTAACGACAGAGTAGAATGGGATCAAAAGAGGAATGGTATCTAAACATACTCTAGGCCAGGGGTCCTCAAACTACGGCCCGCGGGCCACATGCAAATACAGATATTGTATTTGTTCCCGTTTTGTTTTTTTACTTCAAAATAAGATATGTGCAGTGTGCATAGGAATTTGTTCATAGTTTTTTTTTTAAACTATAGTCCGGCCCTCCAATGGTCTGAGGGACAGTGAACTGGCCCCTGTTTAAAAAGTTTGAGGACCCCTGATCTAGGCAGCCAGGAGGGAACGTTCAGAACTGACCCTTGAGCTGAGCATGGACTTCCAGGTAGAAGGAAGGATGTTGACAGTACTTACAAAGGCACAGAGGCAAAAGAAAGCATGCTTTGTTCTAGAAACTGCAAATAATTTTGAATTAATGGAGAGAAGGATATGTGTGGAGGTGTAGCAGGGTGAAGATGGAGAGAGAGGTAGGAGTCATATTTTAAAGTATTTTCTGTCTTACTAAAGGGTCTAGACTTTAACCAGAAGGCAATGAAGAAGCACTGAAGGGTTTTAAACTGCAAAATGGAATTTTCAATGTTTCTTTATTAGAAATAACATTTTAGCAGAAGAATAGAGGGTGTATTTAAGGAAGGTTTTAGATAAGAAAGAAGGTAAGAAGAAACACTGTTTAATGCACGAGTAGTAAGCCAGGTGAGGCATTATAAAAGCCTGAATGAAGATAGTAAGTGTGGGAATCGAAACAAGCAGGTAGGTAAGGGAGACGTTAAAGTGGAATAGAATGACTTGCTGACGTAATCTATGGGAGGTGGTGACGAGTGTAAGAAAGGCATTGACGATGGTTGTCAGGGTTCTGTCATGGAGGACTGGATGAACGATGGCGCTGTCTACCAGCGTAATAGAAATGATGGAGGAGGTTGGGGTGACAGGTCCAGACGGCAGCAGAGATGAGTTTAATTTGGGGCATATTGCATTCTGTATGCCTGGGAGGATGTCCAGTAAGTCGTTAGCTGTGTTGTCCAAGAGATCTGGACAACAGAGCCAACTGGAGAGGTGGATTTGACTTATGTGAGAATGCTGTAAATGGCAATTTAACTCAACTATTATCAGTTTTCCTTTCTTTCCAATGACTAACACATATTAGGTAATCAGTAAATATTTGTTGAATTGATATTACTGTGGCTACAGCTTTTACCCTTGGTCTCCACTGTCTATACTTTGAAAAAAATGATTGATCTAATTTTACTCAGCAGTAGGCAACTTTGGGCCAGGTGGTGCTGGCCTACACAATGTTTAATCCATAAATGGCTTCTTGATGACAGACCACCACTTATTACTTGAGTAGACTGGTATAAAATTGTCTCTTACTTGATTGATTATCTTAGGTATTTTCCTGGTTATTAATTAGCCTTCTCAATTGTAAATTTATATATATGGAAAAGCCATAAAGTTCCTCTCCATGTATATAGGTTTGGATGTGCCATTCACAGAGCTAGCATGTAGCAATTTGAGAAAGCCTATTTGTTTATTATCAGCTAATCTATTTCTTTTTTAAAAAATAGATTTTATTGATTTTTCACAGAGAGGAAGGGAGAAGGATAGAGAGTTGGAAACATCGATGAGAGAGAAACATCAATCAGCTGCCTCCTGCACGCCTCCTACTGGGGATGTGCCCACAACCAAGGTACATGCCCTTAGCTGGAATCGAACCTGGGACCTTTCAGTCTGCAGGCCGATGCTCCATCCACTGAGCCAAACCGGTTAGGGCTAATCTATTTCTTGATTTCTCTATATCAGCTTGTGTAACCCAAAAGAAATGGTAGGATAAGTGCCTTAGAAAGTACAATCTATAATAATAAAAGTGTAATATGCTAATTAGACCGGATGTCCTTCCAGACAAAGCAGGCGGGGGCCAAGGCAGAGGTGGCAGAGACCCCTGGCCATGGCGGTGGTGGGCAGGGGCTGGGGCCAAGGCCCCTGCACGAATTTCGTGCATCAGACCTCTAGTCTATGATATAAAAGCCTAAGGTCATCGGTGCGTAGCTATGATGCGCACTGACCACCAGGGGGGCAGACTCTCAACGCAGGAGCAGAAACCACAGGCATGGAAACATGGAACAGACTAATGAATCTCAGAGGGAAGGGGGCAGGGGAGAGGGCGGAAAGAGATTAACCAAAGATCTTATATGCATACTAGAGGCCCGGTGCATGGATTTGTGCATTGATGGGGTCCCTCAGCCTGGCCTGCAGGGATCGGGCTAAAACCGGCTCTCTGGCATCCCCCAAGGGGTCCCAGATTGCGAGAGCACAGGCCAGGCCGAGGGACCCCACCGGTGCACCGGTCCTCTAGTATGTTTATAATATTACAAGTCCCTTCTAGTGTCCCCAGGCCCTAGCATATTATAAGTGCTCAGATAATGTTGATTGAATTAAGTGAATCTATATGATACTTAGAGTTTACAAAGTGCTTTCATTTAGTTTGTTGTATTTGATCCTCAGAAACCTTTAAGTCAAATTGAGAATTATCCTCGTTTTGAGTATGATGAAATCACATACCTTAGCAAGATATTTTATATATCTCTGTTATATCTGCCGACAGAGACAGTTTGCATGGTCATTTCTCAATTCAATTTTTTAATGTCCTTAGTCAATTTATAATAGTCAGTGAAAGACCTGCCTAATCGAAATTGTGATTCTCTTGTTTTAAGATGGCTTAGAAGAGCCCTGGGTGGTTTGGCTCAGTGGATAGAGCATCAGCCTGCGGACTGAAGGGTCCCGGGTTCAATTCCGGTCAAGGGCACATGCCCAGGTTGTAGGCTCAATCCTCATTAGGGGGCATGCAGGAGGCAGCTCTCTCATCATTGATGTTTCTATCTTTTTCTTTTTCTCCTTCTCCCTCTCTGAAATCAATAATAATAATAAAAAAGATGGCTTAGAAGAACAGTGGCCTCAAGTTCTTGGTACACTGCCTCTTTTCTTGCCTTAACAGAGTGCTGGTTTATGTTCATCACAATATCACAATGTAGGCTGGTTTACAAGTAAAGGAGCAGCAGTGATGTGGGCACTAAAATGTGTAAGCTGGTCCAAGCATATGTCATTTAGTTCAGAAACACCTTCTTAAGAGAGCCTGTCTGGGACCCAGTTCCTACGTGGTATGTAATACGGTAAATTGCCCTTACTAGATTTTCAGGCCCAGGTGGCATATTTATGGCTTTCTGGAGAGTATTTGAATATGTTACTTCCCATGACATTTGGCTTCTGTTAGATTGTTCGTTCGTTTTTCAAATGACTCGTTCTTTTCTTACTAGTGTGAACTCCTTCTCTTCCACCTTCAGTGCCTTTCTTTAAACTTTAGGAATAGGCCTACTGTGGCATTTTCTTCTCATCCACATTCTCTTGAAAGTCCTTATTTTAGATCTGTTTTCCCGGGATGCGAGGCGTTTAGCCTCAGAGGGAACTCTGTGTTTCCAGGATTCATTTCCCTTAGGGGTTGCCGATGTTAGTCATTCATCTGTGAAGAAATGACCTCAGCTGCTGGGTCACTTTTATTTTATTTACACAGAAATGTTTCACTACTTTTGATATTACAGTGAATTCATGGCAATAATTGGATTAAGCCTGTGCCAGATGAACTCAACTTTTATATCACTGCCAACGAAAGTCTAGATTTCAGCTTCTGCATTAGATGCTAGTATGATGATACATATGGCTTGGAGATATGAAACATTTTTCAACTTGATCAGGCTCCTCAAGAATATGGTTTGATTGACTCTTAAGTTGCATTGTTCCTGTGTCTAGTAATGAGTTCGGTATTTAGGAATGGCAAAGTAACTCCTTTAAGGATGAGAGTATGTTATACAGGAAAGACCAAAATAATACAAAGTGCTTGGTACAGGGCAAGGACATCGAAATTACTTCTCAGATTAACAGAGTTTTAGAAACATGACCCAAATAAGGCTGGAACTGCTTAAGCTGCTTAATTCTTCCTTTGACCAACTAATGAGCTAAGATTATTAGTTTATATTAGTATTAGTATTAATATTTTTGAGACCTCTTAAAATCATTGTTGATTCTCAGAGTTTACTATATTCCCCATTTATTCCTAATCTTCTTGCTTTTGTATGTGTTCATTCATTTGTAGAATATAAATGGCATTCGCACAGAGGAGGCGGCTGCCGTGACAAAGGGGCCATCTACCAACCCTGACTCTGAATGGGAGGGCCCCGAGCATTCAGTAATTCCTAGTAAGAGCCAAATGACTACCCCCACGGAGTCTCCACAAAGCTTTGACTTTGGCTCCCTCTCCATAAGCAGCAAGGAAACAGAAGAGAAGGAGCAGGGGGCTGCTGGCCATCTTGATATTAAGGAAATGCCAGGAGGCCCAAGTGGGGAATGTATAGGAGTGGAGGAACAGGCCAGTGCCTTAAAGTTCTCAGTATCACCAGCTTCCTCTCAGCTGCAACTTGGTGAAAAAAAGGCAGAGAGTAGTGAAGAACATGTTACACCAGGAGAGCCACTTGGAAAGCAAAATGGATCACTTGCTGACTCTTGTGTGGGTAACCAGTTCCCCACCCTCATTCGAAGTTTCCAGGTAGTAACTGATTTAATGATGCAGGTCTAATTACTCACTTTGGGAGAGGGCCAGAATCTGTTCTGTAGAGGAGGTGGAGGTGGTGGTGGTGGTGGTGGTGGTGGTGATGGTGATGGTGATGGTAATGAGAGTAGTAGTCTGTCTGCTTTTCTCAAAATCACAGAATAAAATTGAAGCCCTTGATGACTATAAAGAAATTTAGTCAGAGGAATTAACTCCATGAAATGCTTTCTCCCTTGATGATTTAACAAGACTGTTGAGGGTGAACTCCATCTGTTTGCCTTCATGAAGCTGGTGTGTGTTTCTCTTTTCCTTGCTCAAGTGTGGGCAATGTAAAGAGATGAATTTCTGAGACTTATATGATGAGGAGCCTACAGTGTTCTGATACCATGCTCAAAAACTCAAATACTCCTAATTAGAAGGGGTAACTGATTTTATTATGAGATTTCAGGCTCCCAAAATTTATTTATGTATTGCAGCCACACTGTACAGCCCACTACTCCCACTGACCCCACTCACAGGGGCTTCCATGATCATAGGCACTAATCTTCTATGCTAAGGCGGGTGGCCACATAACTGTATCACAGTCAAATGGCAGTTGTAGGGTGATTTATAGTCTTGAGGAAGGTGAACTGAAGGACAAGAAGCCTTTGATATTCCACTGATGTTCATTCTTCTGAAATTCTGAGATTAATCACCAGGTGGTGGTAAAAGTGATTATTTTCTTTCCAGTTTTCCAAATATTGTTTCTTCTCAATTACTCCAAAGTGAATGTCTGACATTGATTTGAAAGAAGTTAATGAATTTCAGGGTGATGCATTTCAATGCCACTGCTGTTTCATGTACCACTTGAACTTATTGGAGGAAATGTGGCTGGTTTTTTTAATGGTACAGTCACAAGGACAACAAAAGTGACTGCTATTTGGCAAATAGTTTTATTTTCCAATTCTGAAGGTCAGTCTGAAGTGTTTTATATCACCAGCCATAATTGTCTGATCTTAGAACTTTCCATTAAGCATATGAAAGTGATTGCAGTAATGCTGTTCTTTAATATCCCTCATGACTTGACACCTTGTCAGCGCTACTTTGGAGTAGTGTCCAAGTCTTGGGCAGAGATTGAGCTAGGCTTTTGCTTGATTAGAGCTGTCACTTTGATCAGATCAATGTCAGAAGATTAATTCCCCACAGCCTTCAGAAGATTCTGGTAACTGTGTCTTTACTGCTTCACAGCCTCCTCTGGTGAAGACTCAGACTGTCACCATCTCAGACACGGCCAATGCCGTGAAAAGTGAGATCCCAACCAAAGACGTCCCTATTGTCCACACCGAGACCAAGACCATCACCTACGAGGCTGCTCAGGTAGGACACGGGTTAATGACTCAGGGTCAAAGGCTGGAGTAAACACAGTAAATAACCCTTGTTCACATGGTTTCTAATTACTTACTCCAATTAACACTAGGCTTTTCTGGGGCCGTTCTTTTTAGTAGAGATCACTGATCTAAGAATGAACCGACATACTTTATAAAGTCAAAATTGTCTTGGATCTGATTGCGGATATTCACCCTGTTCACTAGTGAAGGCAGTCTAGTGTAGTGGTTAAGAACATGAGTTTTGGGTCAAACAAACCTGAGTTCAGGTCCTGGCTTCTCCACTTATTAACTTAAGCAAATAACAGAATATCTCTGAGCCTTACTGCCCTGCCCATCCCCTCCTCTAGTCCACATGATGTTAGTGCCTGTATCTATTTCATGATTTTGTTAGGAAGATTTTTTATATATATATTTTATTAATTTTTTACAGAGAGGAAGGGAGAGGGATAGAGAGTTAGAAACATCAATGAGACAGAAACATCGATCAGCTGCCTCCTGCACACCCACCACCACTGGGGATGTGCCCGCAACCAAGGTACATGCCCTTGACCGGAATCAAACCTGGGACCTTTCAGTCGGCAGGTCGACGCTCTATCCACTGAGCCAAACCAGTCAGGGCTTGTTAGGAAGATTTTATAAAACATTGTACTGCATGGAATTGACTTGAGCACCATGCCTGAAAGCAGAAATAAGTAACAGCTATAATAATTATAATCAATTAGTGCAATTAAATTAAATTTAACATCACATAAGAATTTAAGTATTTAAAATTCCATTTATGTCCTACTTTTAACAAAATTTCTCTTTTATTATTGGCAACTTGAATGAGCTAGGGTTGCTTATATTGAATTATTTTCTTGCCTTTTTTTAATTCACAGGAGCCAATAGTAAGAAACCCTCTATAAACCAAGCTGTTAATTCATTCATTTATGTATTGCAGCCACACTGTATAGTCCACCACTCCCACTGACCCCACTCACAGGGGCTTCCATGATCGTAGGCAATAAATATTTCTCTTTCAAAAAAATGTTTTAAAATTTATTGATTTTTTGGAGAGAGAGAAGAGGAAGCGGAGAGAGAGAGAGAGAGAGAGAGAGAGAGAGAAAGACAGACAGGTTGTCATTTCACTTATTTATGCATTCATTGCTTATTTCTTTTTTTATTTTTTATTTTATTGATTTCAGAAAGGGAGAAGGAGAGAGAGAGAGAGACCCATCTATGTGAGAGAAACATTGATCGACTGCCTCCCACACGCATCCCAACTGAGACTGAACCTAAAATCTGGGCATGTGCCTTGACTAGGAATCAAACTGGCAACCTTTCCCTGCACAGGACAATGCTCAACCAACTGAGCCACTCCAGCCAGGGCTAAATATTTCTTGAGCATTTATTTATTAGGCCAAAGCAGTGTTCAGGTAAACACTGGCCATATCCTCCGGAACTCACATTTGATCAGGAGAGACACAATAAAACAACAAATAAATATATAAATTTCAGACAGTAATACGTGCTATAAAGAAACTAAAATAGTTAAACTACCTGAGTTAACATAAAAGGTTGCTACTTTGGGGCTGGAGTAGTTAGGGAAACCCTCTCTGAGGAGGTGACATTTTGGCCAAGGCCTGCAGGATGACTAGCCAGATCATTCATTGCAAGATCTGGGGGAGGATTAGACGTCTGTAAAGTGCTTGGTGCATTCACAGACATGTAATGTTAGAGCGCGTACCCCTTCTCTTTCTTGTGGTCTAGAGCGTGGATTTTGAGTATGGTAAATAATGAGAGGTCGCTTGAAGTTTTTTAATAGTGGTGATAAAGTGGCATAATGAAAGCAACAATTTTGGAAGATGATTCCTAAAGCTGTGTGCTGCATATGTTGAAGTAGGGGAGCGCCTGGAGACAGGAATGTGACTAAAGCAGGTGTGGGGAGATGCTGGTGAGGAACTGAAGTGTAGCCTGAGGACATGTGAAAGAGAGAGAATGAATAGGACTTGGCAGCGAAGGGGACTAAAAGGAAGGAATAGGAGATGACTTTAAGATTGTGCACACAATTAGCGAGAGGATGTAGGAAAGAATTACTTGCTTATGGGAGGGAGCCCTTTACGTTGTCACTACCATGGAAACAACCTAAAGGTCATCAGTGGGAAACAGGTTAAATAAATTATGGTACATTCAATGAAGGTAAGTCTAGGCAGCTATTTTTAAAAGCTTCTGATGGGAATAGACTATGTGATAAACTGATAAATGAAAAAGCACAGTGCAAAAACGTGTAAATAATCTGTAGAAAAACGTGCCTTGTACATAAGCACCAGATACTTTTTGGCTATTATAATTACTTATTTGTTATAAGTATTTCTACTTCTATTTTTACTTTATTGCCAGCCGAGTAAGCCCAGGAATCTTTTTGTTATTCTTCTACAATTCTACATGTTGGGAAACAGGGTGAGAGGGGATAGGGAGCCAGAATAGGGTTTTACTGTTTGTGTATATGTGCATGTGTGTGTGCATGAGGTCACATTTACATCCAGTGAAATGCACAGATTTTAAGTGTTGCATTTGATTGGCTTTGACAAACATATACCTGTGTAACCAAGACATATTTGGGATATAGAACATTTCCACCACTCCTTTCTTTATAACTTTTTCTAGTCCGTCCCTACCCCTCTAGCAACTATTCTGATTTCTATCACCATAGCTTAGTTGTTCTTGGACTTCAAATAAATAGAGTATGAAATAGGACACTTTTGTGTCTGAACATGTTTTTCAGGCTCATCCATGTCATATGAATCCATAGTTCACTGTTTTTTATTGTTGAATAGCATTCCATTGGGTGAATATACCACAATTTGTTTATCCTTTTATTTGTTGATGGACATTTGAGTTGATTCCAGTTTGGGGCAAATTTGAATAAAGCTGCTATAAACCTTTGTGTGCAAGTCTTTCTGTGGACATATGTTTTCACTTATCTTGGGTAAACACCTCAGAGTGGAATTGCCGGGTCACAGGATAAATGGATGTTTACCTTTATAAGCAACTGTCAAAGCCACAGAACCATCGTGAGGAGACATTGGTAAGAGGATCAAAGAAAAGAAGCCTGATGTGGGAAGAGTGTAAGTTGGAAATCCTAACCATGTCTCCTCTGGCTTCCACCTCCTTCAGAGACCGAAAGGGAGGAGTAAGGGGTTCAAGGGAAGTAGAAAAAAGTCACAGGTTTAGTAGAGGAGGAGCTCTTCAAAAAGGTTTACCCACCCTGGCCGGTGTGGCTCAGGTGTTGGTTGGGCATCAGTATGTGCACCGAGCAGTTGCCAGATCAATTCCCGGCCAGGGCAAATGCCCAGGATACGGCTTGATTCCTAGTCTGGCGTGTGCGCAGAAGGAAGCCAATCAATGTTTCTGTCTCCCTCCCTCCCTCCCTCCCTCCCCACCTCCTTTCCTTCCTCTCTTCCTCTCTCCCTCCCTTCATCCCTTTCTTCTTCCCTCCCTCCCTCTCCCTCTCCCTCTCGCTCTAAAAAGCAATTTAAAAAATAAAAAGGTTTAGCTCTCCTGGCATGCAAATTTATATTCATATAACAATTTATAAAATTATTTCTGTAATCTCTTTTGACCTTCAAAACAATGCTATGGTGGAAACAGAGCACTTACTACAGTATTACCTGTTATAAATGGGAAAACTAAAACTCAGAGGAGTCAGACTAACTTGCTCGGTTATTTGAACTGGGACCCAAACCTCAGTCTTCAAACAAGAGGTTTCATGCTTTAAGTCTTATTTCAAATGCTTATTAACTATAGAACTGTGACCGATTACTTAACCCCTCTGGACCTCAGTTTTCTTAACTATATACAGTGAGTATATAATAGGACCTACTAAGTATAATTGAGATAACAGTTGCATTATGTGCTTGGCACATAGTAGGAGTGCAGTAAATATTAAGCCTGAAGCTAAGGTAGATAAGAGGGTCTGGGCTAAAGAAAGTATCAGCGAACTAGCCAGTAATATACCCAGTATGATAGTGCTATATGTGTGAGGCTTAGGTGACATGACCATGTTCCTTCTCTTTGTCTTGTCTAAATTCCTACTTGGAAGCGAACCCAGCTAGGAATTCTTCTCCTTCCTCCACCTGATCCCCCACCCCATATCTCAGTAAAATGTAGTCCTTAATAAAATGTAGTCCTACTCATAAAAAGGTTGGAGGCCTCTGCTTACAATACAGATGGCTTGTATAAAGTGGCAAAGAAAGATAGTGGCCTAACACATGTTTGCTTCAGGATTTTTGGTGAAGATAATTGCTATTCTCTAAATTCCTTTCTGAGACAATGTGCAATGCCAGTACCAGGTATCTTAGATCATTATCATCTGAAAAGCATGTTGCTCTAGGCAGCCTCTGCCTTCCTAGTCTTGTTTGTCTCCATAATCAGCCGGTCTAAGCCTAAAGGCCCTAACTTTTCACCAAGTTGAGTTTGGCCCCTACCAACCATCCCTCTTCCTTTTTGCTAATGTCCTTTCTCAGCCTGGTCATAAAATGTTTGTCTTTCTCAAAATGTGGTGAGCTCCAGAGAAACAAGAAGTAGCCCGGCCCTGTTCTCCATATAGATGAACTGTATTTTGAATACTTTGAATACTTTTTTTTTTTAATTTAGAGGGCGGGAGACGGAGAGAAATATCAATGTGTTGTCCCACTTATTTATGCATTCATCGGTTACTTCTTTTATGTGCCCTGACTAGAGATTGAACCTACAAACTTGGCATATTGGGACGATGCTCTAACCAATTGAGCTACCCAGCCAGGGCCTGAATACTTTTAAATCCCTCCTATAACGAGGATCCATTTCAATAACAGAGTTGTTATCAGAAATGTCTTTGAGATAGTGTCTATATCTCCTTACACTTTGCCTTAAATGGACATTTCCTACTCATTTGTTCCAGTCTCCCATCTCCATCTTCAAAGAAGATAGCCTGAGGTTCCCTGGCCTTTCCTGGGCCTTTCTGGAAAGTTCTCCCTGGGATTCAGAACCTCCCCACCCCCCCATGCCTTAGCAACCAGGGGCCTGCACCTTTCCTGTTCTGGGTGCTGTGTATAAAGAGCTCCAGACCTGTAGAGATGACAACTGCCACTCACTAGTTTTGAGTTTGTGGGCAAGTCATTCCCTTCTGTGAGCCTGAGTTTTCTTACCTGGGAGTATAGACCTCGGCCCTTTGAATTGTTTCATAGGGCTGTGTGAGCATCAGAAAGATTGTGACAGTGCGTAGTTACTGTTACTCTTGTTGAACCTACGGCTACACACTGCCTCCTCTTTCTGATCTACCCTTATTACTGACCCAATGCTAAGGGAAACTGGGCCCCTCCAACTTTTTTAGAGGGAGCCATGTTGCCAGGGTATTTTTTAAAATTTGATTTATTAAGAGATCACTGTAAAGGAATTGGGGGGTTTGATTTAGAATGGCCAGCTGAAGAGCAAAACGGCATCCTGCATTTGCCCACCAGGCTTCCTTTGAGGCATAATGACGGGTTGTGCTTCCTTCCCCTCTGTAGACTGACGAGAGCAATGGGGACTTGGACCCAGGAGTCTTGCTGACAGCTCAGACCATCACCTCTGAGACCACCAGCAGCACCACCACAACTCAGATTACCAAGGTAACAGACCAGCCAGTGCTTCCGGCTGGAATCCAGTGGTGCAGCAAGCTCACTGCCTCTCTGCAGGAACTACCCTGGTCCATAAACCAGGGTTTTCTGCTCCATCCCCTTCGAGCCAAATTATGCCAAGTGTCCCAGGTGGAAGGACCTGCTGCTTCCCCAGGAATAAACCTGGGGAGAGAACCCCCGCCTACTTAGTAGTCTCATAGGTCACATGTGGTTGTTCTTTTCACATCCGTCTGTCTCTCCGATTAGTGAGCCTCTTATCTGGCGGTGGAGGTAAGTTTAAAAAGTCAGTTTAAGGGCAAGTTTGTTGGTATTATAATGCAAACATATTTTCCAAGCCAAAAAATCAGAACTCGGGGTCCAACAGGAATTTTTATATATATAAATATATATTATTGATTTTTTACAGAGAGGAAGGGAGAGAGATAGAGAGTCAGAAACATAGATGAGAGAAAAACATCGATCAGCTGCCTCCTGCGCATCCCCCACTGGGGATGTGCCCGCAACCCAGGTACATGCCCCTGACCGGAATCGAACCTGGGACCTTTCAGTCCGCAGGCCGACGCTCTATCCACTGAGCCAAACCGGTTTCAGCACCAACAAGGAATTTTTATGTCATGTCCAGAATCAGGGCCATGGGAACTAGAGTTTGGATGCTGAAATATTGGAATTGTCACAGTAGTGCTTATGGGGGCAAGAGGGACAACCTATCTAACACTGGGACTGCTCTCGGGAAGTCAGGGACAAGCCATGTTTGCTGTAGCACTGGAAGAAAATGCGTTTTCTTATAAGCAGGAAATCTAGATTTCTGACCAAGCTCCCCATCAACACACGGATGACTGGAAGCCAGTTACTTAGCATACCTAGACCTTGGTTTTCTTCATGTGTCAAGTCGGGAAACCAAGCCACGCTGAGGGGATTATATGAGGCCCTTTTGACATCAATAATATGAAAATGCTTTAAAGTAAAGAACCCAATTTCAAGTTGTGTGAGGCTTTTGGTCAGTCTTCTGATTCTTTTCCCTCCTGAAAATAGTCAAATAAAATATACAGTAATGAAGAAACAAATAGATCTATTTTGTTTACTCACTGAATTTCTGTGGTATTTATGAGAAAGAAAAGGGGGAAATAAACAACTAGAGAATTCTGACTTTCGGTTTAACTTACTGAAGATTTTAGCAACCCTCGGGGATAGAGGAGTGTTCATTCAGCAGGTTCAGCCAGGATTTTGGACAAGTAGGTGAGAAGCTGTCCTATCCAGTACCTAGCAGCAGATTAAAATTAGAGTGGAACTTTCTGAATAATCTCTTGCTGTTTCTTTTTCTTTCTTTCTCATATGGCCCCCTCCCTTTGGTTTCAGACGGTCAAAGGTGGGATATCAGAGACACGGATTGAAAAGAGAATTGTGATCACAGGAGATGCCGATATTGACCATGACCAGGTGGGAATGCTGAGGAGGCCCTGGGCATGGGAGGGGTCCTGGGCAGGAAGACTGATGGATGCAAAAGACACCTCTGCCAGCTTCACCTCCAAAGGCCCCCTCAGCTACTGTCGCTCTTACGCAAGAAGGAAGACAGCGGGAATCAGATCACAGAGTCGTGGGTGGGGCTGTGGACTGGGGAAGCAAGGAGGTGTAACAGGAAGAAATGGACTTCAGACTCCAAACCGCTGAGTTTAAATCCTAGTTCTTAGCAAATCCTAGCTCTCAACTCCCTAGGCTTCCGCTTCCTCATCTATAAGATGGGAATTCTCTCCCAAGGTTGTAAGACTGAAGTGAGATACAGCATGTAGCACATGGTGGGCTCCAAGTGACTGGAGCTGTTATGCGGGGGATATCGGGTCCGAAGCCTCTGCTAGGGACAGCAGGTGATATCGAAGCCAAAGGAAGGTATGACCTCTACCCTCAGGGCTGTCGTCGCTGAGGAGACAACTAGGGGGACATAGACTGGACTTGATTTCTGCCCTAGATCTATCACTGACTCACTGTGTGACCTCGGGCGAGTCACTTTAACTCTGATTTTTTTTCCCTCTCCTAAAAGAGTACGTTGATCTAGATAATTTCTGGGCCTTTCTGAGAGCTAAATTCTATGTTTTTATGTTAATTAGGTGCTAATTGTGTGCTACAAGCAATTAGCAAATAATAAGGTCAGGACTAATGTTCCCAATTCTCTGCCAGTGAGGTTAGAACCAATGCTGCAGAGAAGAGGGGGTGGAAGCACTGCCTGCAGATGCTTCTGGAATCACTGACAGGAGCGCCGGAGCAGTGATGCTGTGGCCTCTGTGCTGATACGCTGAGTGCCTTAAAAAAAAAAAAAAAAAGAAATGAAAACTTGAGCTGAGTGCCGGCTGTTCCCTTGGTAGCAGGCCTGAGACTTACAGCTCTGAATGCTGGGCTCAGGGTCCCAGCAGCAAGGCTGCTCGCCCAAGTGAGAGGCCTTGCAGCCTGTCTGCCCCCGCTCAGTGGATCCTGCTGCATCACCAGCTGCACCCCTCCTCAGTCTCATGTGGTCTGGGCCCCCACTCTGTGCCCGCTCAGTCTGTGCCGGACAGCAAGAGCGGCGGCGGAGAAGGTGCGTGGGGTTCAGGGTGGGATAGACCTGGGTTGAATCCTGACTCCATAGCTCACGGGTGCATGCCCCTGCGCAGATGATTTCACTTCTCTGAGATGTGGTTCCCTTTCTATAGAATAAAGATAATCGGAGGTTTCTTCAGGGCTGTTGTGACGAAGGGACAAGCACACTTGATAGCTCAGAGAGATGCCCCAGGTCCTCCGGTTCTCTAGGTCCTGAGGGCTACGTGAAAGGAGATGTGGTGGCCCCTGGATGGGTTGCGGGAGCACTTTCAGGAGGACTATTCAGGAGAAGGTGTGTGATGCAGGCTTTCGTAGAGAGGCATGTGAAGGCCGGAGTAACCAGAGGGCATGGGCTGGGCCTTGAAGCATGAGCAGATGAGTTGAGCAAAAAGAGGTCAAGGAGGGTGAGGATTAACCAAAAAAAGATCAAAAGAGGATTTCCCTTCTTCCCCTGTTGCTCCATCTTAGAGATGGTTCTTTTAAAAGTATGTTTATTGATTCTTAGGGGATGGGGGGAGGGAGAGGGAGAGAGAGAGAGAAACATCAATGTGAGAGAGAAACAGCAATTGCCTGCCTCCCACAAGCCCCCTACTGGGGATCAAGCCTGCAACCCCGGACATGTGCTCTGATTGGGAATAAAACTGGCAACCTTTTGGTACCCTAATGATGCTCATCCAACTGAGCCACACCAGCCAAGGCTTAGAGACGGTTCTTTTTAAAAATATATATATATTTTCTTAGTGATTTTTAGACAGAGAAGAAGGGAGAGGGAGAGAGAGAAAAACATCAATGCATGAGAGAAATGTCAATCGGCTGCCTCCTGCACACGCCCTACTGGGGATTGAGCCCAAAACCCGGGCATGTGCCCTGACCAGGAATCAAACCCGAGACCTCTTGGTTCATGGGTCGACGGTCAACCACTGAGCTACACCAGCCAGGCTTAGAGATGGTTCTTAAGAGCTGGGTCAACAGTCAGCTGGTCAAATCTAGCTAGAGTCCTTTTTAATGGGGGGAGGGGGGCACTTCTCTGAGAAATGGTGTGCCACCAGACCCCAAAGGCTAAAGGCTCAGAGACTTGCAGCCCAAGGAGAGTAGTGGCTTCATTGCTCTTCTTTTCCGCTGCTCCCTCTAGCTTCCCTGAAATGATCAAACCCCTTCAGATGCTAAGACAGCCCCCCCACCCCCCCCGCATCTGAAAAACTGTGTGGTAAAGAGGAAAGCCCAATGGACTGAGTTACAACGCCTGTCGCGTTACTTACTAGCTGTGAAACGTTCAGCACTTTGACCACTGAACCTCAGTTCCTTGTTTATAAAAGGGAAACAATGATTCCGCCCTCGTGCACCGGGTTGTTGTGAAGATTAACTACATAATAATAAGTAATGTGGTTAGGCTAGTACATGGCATGGAACTAGGCCCTCCCGCTCTTCCACTGGGATGATATGATTCTACATTCTAATGGTGGGTATGTGCTTTCATGCATTTGTCACAGTCTATAGCATGCACAATACCAAGAGTGAACCTTCCTGTAATTTAAGGACTTTAGTTGACAATGATGAGTCAGTGCACATTCATCCATTGTAATAAATATACTTCTCTGTTGCTCGCTCTTCCTGTCTTCTCCTACTTTAGCCAAAGCCACCTCTTCCTTTTGGTAGCACGCGTCTTCCTTTTCCTCTCCTGCTCTGAACTTCCCAGGCACCGTTTGCTGAACACAGATTTTGCTTTGTCTTTTAGACTCACTTCTGAGTGGATCCTCCCAGACCCACCCAGCAGGTGCAGCCTTCACCCCTGAGTCCCTCTCTGATTCCTGAAAGATGCTCTAACCCTCCCTGTCTCTGTGCCTTCAGTCCAGGAGCCTCCCTGTGCAGGATAGAGTGGAGACGGTCATCATCAGCTTGGCTTAGCCTGAATGCTGCCCTGGTGCTGCAGACAGGATTGAATTTGCCAGGAAAACGCTGTCCTGTGACCTTAGCTCACTGGCCAAGCTGCTTCCTGCCTGATGGGTGCCCTTTCTGTCCTCCTTAGGTCCTGGTGCAGGCCATCAAGGAGGCAAAGGAGCAGCACCCGGACATGTCAGTGACCAAGGTGGTCGTCCATCAGGAGACTGAAATCTCTGAGGAATGAGCTCAGGTAGGGGCTATTTCTGCTGTAGTGGAGGGTGCTCCCTCTCCAGCCTCAGAGAGCACTGGCCAGGAACCCTGGCCACTCTGGGAGCCATCCCCCCAGAGGCGTCCACCCTGGAGCTGGGTACAGTGAAGGCAGAGGAGAGGTTGATGAGGGCGACATAGGAGGTTATTAAGTATTTGGCTCCAACTAAAGCAGCCAGGTCTCCTGTGTCCTCCCGTCCTTAGTGCCTGCAGTGCTGGTTGGAGGCGATACCCCAAATGTGGAAGCAAACCCCACCCCCCTCCTGAATCTTCATGCAGTCCCTGCTGCTCCACCTTGCGCACCTCCCCTTCTCCTCTCTGCTCTCATGGAGAAGAGCCAGAGAACAAAACCAAGAAAGGCAGGGCCAGGCTGCCTGGAGACAGAGGGGCTGGGGGACAGGGAGAAATGACTGAAGTTCTCGCAGCAGACTAGAGAGTTGGCAGCAGGGTAGCTGCTTTTTGAGAGACAGGGATCCAGATAAATTCATGCCTAAAAGTGATTTACAAATGACTGGAAGATGCTATCCATCACCAGTCAGGACTGGGTCCTGTAAAACCGCGCCAGCCTTGGTTATTACTTGTGGCCATAAGAACTTGGTGATGGGACTGGGGTCTCCTTGCAGGATTTATCAACTTTGCTTTTCTTTCCTCTAGGAATCACTTACCCCCGACTCCCTGCCCGTCTCCCATCCATGAGAAAACCAGAGAAACGACAAAGAAGCTAGCCTGCAATAGTCAGACTTCAGACTTTCAAGGTTCTAAACCACCAGAAAATTAATTTCATTTTCTATTTGGAGTTTATACCAACAGTCTTTTAGACATCACTGACCTTTTGAATACCTTTTTCTATATTGTGATACTAGAACTGTTCGACTTTTCACTCTACGGACTGTTTTTAAAGAGCTTTTTGGTTTTTTATGGGGTGGTTTGTAACCCCTTCAGCCCAGCCTCTCCCCATTGATTTCCAACCCAGATGCTGACAGGGCCCACAGAATTCTTCTGGAAGCCTCCAAAGACTGTCCGCTGTGTTGGGGCCAAAGCCAGCTGCATGAGGCTGCCCTGCTCTCCCCTAGTTTTATATCCTTTGGGTGACAGTAGAAACTTTAAAAACCAGCCCTTTCTCAGAGCCAATGATGTGACTTTACAGGAATGTCGGGCAGGGTGCTGCCCCGACCCACAGACCCAGCAGAGTCCCTGTCCCTTTGCGGAGGGTGGTTTGGGGGAGGCAGAGGCCTCTGCCAAGAATGTGGTATTGCTTTTCCTCCCTCCTATTCTTTCTTTTTGGAGATTCTTTAGATCAAAGATGTAAGAAGTTGCTCAGCTCTATCTGATACTGTGAATGTTTTAACAGATCCGTGGCCTTCACCTTCCTGCCCTCCGACCCCTTTTACCTCACCAGAAGCACTGGCTCTGCTAGGTACTCCCCCACCTCCCATCTCAGGAGAGCAGAACTCACAGGAAAATAGGCACTTTGGGCCAAAAGCACTAGTGGCACATTTTTAGTGGTGATTTGGGCAAAGAAAATGAATGAGGTTTTTGAAAGGTTTTCTAGTTCTGGGAATGTGCACTGCACACAGGGGAATGGGGGGTTCACCTCGTTCAGGTCCCACCAAGAAGCATTTCCAGGTGACCACCCCGACCATGTGGCAGCCCTCAGAGCACAGGACCACGCGTCAGGGGGCCTACCCTTCCTTCAGCTCTGTCACCAGCTCAGCACACTTCTCCTTGCTGCTCCCTGTCTGTAAACTGGAGCAGATCTGTAACGCCCTCCCCGCACCGGGAAGTCACACTGGGGACAGGCTAGCATGAGGGGTGTCCTTCCAGGCCTCTTCCCCCTCCTCCCTCTCTGCTGACAGATCCTGAGGTTTGGCAGTAGTCAGACTTTTTCTTCCTGCAGTTGTGTGTGCGTGTGTGTGTGTGCATGAAGAAAAGCAGACCCTGTCCAGGTAGGAAATGAAGAGGAGCGGGACTTGGCAGTTTTCCTAGTGACTCAGACACATCACAGTAACAACTCTCGCTGCAATTTTATTTTTATTTCACTTGAGAAATAAAGACTTCCTCCAAGCCACCCGAGGTCTCTGCCACCCACCCACCCACCATGCCGGACCTGCACTTATAAGCGGAGGGCCCACAGAGCCTGGCTGTCAGGGTGTCTTTAACGCCTTTCCCAAACCTCCCACCCCCCACCCCCCACCCCCGTGTGTGCAGCAGGGCAGCGGAGGGTGAGGGGACAGCAGTCATCTCAGCGACTGGAGCCACGGCTGTGGCCTTACCGACCCCCAGGAATGCTCATGGGAACTGTCTGCCAGGATCTCAGCCCCAGGCTGGTGGTTTTACAAATCTCTCAAATGTATTATTTTGGTGACAAAAATGAAGGAGCTTTGTAAAATTTTAAAAAATTATGAATCATATCAAGTAGTTGTTTACATTTGACAAAATAGGAACTATGGCAGCAGAATCAAATTGGCAAAATCCTTAGGTTAAACAGGCAATAATTAAGTCTGCTGTTTTGGCCTTTTGTAGTAAGAGAAGTGGCTGTAGTGTTTAGACAAGTGTTTGGTCTTGCTTCTTGTACTGCATTTTTCAATAAACTGCAAAAAAAAAAAAAAAAAAGGACTGAATCTGTGAGGATTGATCAACTTTTAAAGTTATCTTCCCCTCTTGCTAAAAAGAAAGTTACCCACATTGGCCAAAACGCAACTTCAATATCGTATAAAAAGGTCTCTGAGAATTGGCAAAAGCCTTTGGCCAACAGAAGGGAGATTTTGCAGCATAGACCAGGACAAGGAGAGAAGGGGGCTCCCAGACCTGCTTGGGAGGGGCCGGGCCCTCAGCAGGAGGCATTGGCAGTCTGTAGCCCTAGGAGGATATACCCTGCACGGCTGAGGGAAGAAATGGATTGAGGTGGTGAGAGTTAAAGGCTCAGTCCCCATCCCAGATGGCAGTGAAGGGTCATAACTGTACCCCATTGCCCATTTTCTGGAGGCCCAAACCCCATCACCAGTGCCACCTTGGAGGGAGCCTGTCCCAACCTGTAACATCTCAACCTACCTTCCAAGTCTTAGGGGTTCTTGCCCACCATTGGGGTTTGCCAAGACACCAGGAGCATCTCCCAATCGCCCTGGCCTGGCCTTCCAGCCTCCTCAGGTACCTGTTCAGGGCTAAGGCCACTTCGGAGGCTAAAGGAATTCCTGAGGCCGAGTCATGCTGGTCTCCAGAGTTCACATGAAAACACTTTCCAGCTTATTGAACCCTGTGCAGTTGGCATTGCTCTGCCAACATGCAAGTCAGGATACCTTAGCAGCTGCTGGGCCAAAGCATCCATTCCCCGGTCTGGGAGGTGACAAGCATCTACTAGACGTTGGGACTCCTGGTCCTATGACGATGGTCCATGCTGCAGCCTCGTAGCAGGCTGCCCCTGGCTCCTCAAACCGGAGCCCCGAAGTCCCCTCCTCCTCCCAACTTGGTATAACCCTCCAGGCTGAGGCGGTCCAGCCGGGGCCAGCTTCGGTGAGCACAGTCCCGAGCCGCCGGGGCCCCAAGCAGGAGCTCTCCGAGGCCCAGATCCAGAGACTTGGAGTGTTCGATGCCGGAACCCGAGGGCTGCACGGTGATAATCACATGGCCAGTCTGGGTCCGTGGACCCCAAGGTGGGGGCAGCCCCGGGCCCTTCAGCGGGTAACTGCTGAGCAGGGCAGGCAGCCCCAAGCGAGGATTAGCAGGTTCTGAACGCAGACTCCGCACGGAGGGGACCGGGGAGGTGCCCCGGCGCGGGGACAGGTCCCAACTCTTGGTTCCACA